GAGAACAATTACCTCCTTATGATTGATTTAAATTTGTTTCAAGTATTTTGTAATAATATTTAATCAGCAATTTAGATAATTTGGTTTTTGCCGGTTTTTACCAGTTTTTGCCGGTTTTTACCAGGTATTTGCCACTGTCCTGGCAAAAACCCCTTTTTGCCGGCAAAAACTCCAACCCTGGCTTGAGGTTATCTTAAAAAGAAATTACCCTAATATGCCAAAAATAGGGCTTAAATTCTCTATTTCATTTAGTCTTTAAATTTCAATCCTGCATTTGTTTACTATGCAAACAAATGCAGGATTGAAATTTAAAGACTAAATAAAAATGGTTGCATTGCATGGTCGCTATGCATTCAAAGCTTGTATTATAATGAAAAATTGTTTTTGGTAGTTAGAGCTTTTTAAATATTGTTATAATATAGTTTTAATATTAATTTAATTTTGATTAAACATTCATAAAGTTTTTTTCATCATAAATCAAAGTTCTTACAGTATATTTGAATAAAAAACAAAATCGATTATTTTTGTAATTTTTAAAAGAAAATCACAAACCCTGCTTATAGGGGATATTTCTGTATCCTGATCTGTCGTGCCAACTACAATCACCAAGGTGCCAAGTAGATTTTAAACTTGCTCATTTTTTTAAAAAAAACATGTAGATGTTTGCCCAGGGGTGTCTAAGCATTACCTTTTGAGTAGGTCCCTTTCTGTGATGTTATTTTTAAAAGTTTCTTGCAAACTGTTGCCTGGAAGTTGCCAAGACTTGGTGATTATTCGGTCACATATCACGCTACGGAAATCTCCCTGTACCTATATTGGGTGTCTTTTACCGCAGAATTGATATTATAAATAAGATGACATTGCGAGCTGTATTTATTATGCTTCATTAATCTGTACATCATTTTTGTTCTCTTCTTCAGAATATCCAGTAGTAGGGGGTTCAGCCCCTACTGCCCCAGCCTACATTAGTGTTCCCAGTGCAGGCACTCATCAAGTGACCATGACCAGTCCATATCCTGGTTATCCTCCTCCAGCATATTCTTCTCCCGCTTATCTGCCTTCATCAGCACCAACATATTTGCCAGGTATTTCTTTTTCTTTCTTTTCAACTCACAACTTATAGTGTGAGTCACTTCATTTGTAGGATAAAATGGCATGTATAGCAGACAAAGACAATGCAATTTGAAAGAAGTTGCATCAACAGATATACTGTTAAAAGGATGAAAACAATTAAAAATAGTAGTTAAAAATATAATGATTTATTAAAATATTTTTTTAAATAATAATTACAATAGTAATTGTGTTTTATCTTAACTCAGGGCTGATTGTGGTCCGGAAACACCGGATTTTCGCTAACACTGATCCGGAAGTTTCCGGAGATCGAAGGTTCATACGTTTAAAAAAATCATTAATCGCAGAAGATTCCAGAAATCAAATTTTCAAAGGTGGAACTTAAATACACAGTTTATTTTATTTGTTTGTAAGGGAGAGTCAGAGAGATACTTTATAAGCTTATATTCATGATTAATATTCATTTTTCAGTAAATAGTTGTTATAATCATAAACTCAAAGAAGGAAGACATATTTGTAAATTCTCCAGGTCATCATAGGTATTTGTAAATGGTATAGGTATGTGTAAAATTTTAAATATATTTTAAGTAAACTAAGAAATATTGAGAAAAGGGAAAAAAATCTTGTTTGAATTTTTTTCTAATTTTTCAATTTAAACTGTTTTTTTTCTTCTTTTTTTGTTTAACTCAAGAAATTTTCCGGAATTTTTACTTGGGCTTACAATCACCCCTGTTAACTATTAACTTGAAATATTATTTTATGTTTACCTCATCAGTTGACACAACATCTGTCAAGTTTTATAATTTCTGTTTATGACATTTTATCCACTTTTCTCTACACTTTCTCACTATTCATGATATCAAATGTTGTTCTTATTCGATCATTCGATAAACATAATTACTATTGTAATTATTTTTAATAATAATTACAATAGTAATTATATTTTATCTTAACTATTAACTTGAAATATTATTTTATGTTTATCTCATCAGTTGACACAACATTTGTCAAGTTTTATTTCTGTTTATGACATTTTATCCACTTTTCTCTACACTTTCTCACACTAAATTTGACTATTCATGTTATCAAATGTTGCTTTTATTCAATCACTCTTGTTTTTTTTTCCAGTGAATAATAATACCTAAATAACAATTTGATGCATTTTTTTCTCTTTTGTATTCATTTCCATAAATTACATTGGTCAAAGTATTTTATGTAAGGTTTGGAGCTGTCCTAAATCCCAATTCAGCAAAAAATAGACTTTTTTCTTAGAACTATTATTCATTATATCAAATTTTAGTTTAATAAAGAGTGAGTGTATTTGATATTTTACTAGAATTATGACTCGATATTGATTTTAATTCTCTGTCCATGAAACTTTTTGATAAAATTGTGAAATTCTATGTGTGTTCATTACTTGCTTATGAAAATGTTATATTTTATAAAGAAATAATTTAAGATTCTAAAAATCCTTTTTATCATGATTTCTTAAATTTATTGCAAGACATATTTCTAATTGTTTTTTTTATTTTATATAATATTGAATTTATAAAATATTAGATAATGTTATTAACCGTAAATTATAATAATTATGAATATTAATTTAATAATCAGGGATGAGATTTTTCCGCTTTTTAGCGTATTTCAGCTTTTTTAACTTTTATCTGTTGNTTGCGTAAAATTTAATATCGTGGAAATTCAGCTTTTTTGTCTTTTGGCTAATCTCATCCCTGAATAATCTAAAATTTGATTTTATCTATACATTTCTATTGTAATTTATATTTCTAATTAACTTTTCATAACAAAATTGAAGTTGTCTATGTTAAAAGAAGGTGTGTAACATTTCTGCAAAGATAAGTTTTTTGTTGGTTTTGGAATCTGTACACATTTTGTGTTGTGCACATATATCACGGCTACATCTTGAGTTACTCATCCCCCAACTCTTACAGCTTATCCAGCTGTATCCATTGTCAGCAAAACACTTTTGAACTATGTTGTTGTTTATTCAATATTGCGGAAATGGACGAAGACTCAAACTCAGCAAAATCTCAATGAATGAGACTGATAACCATAGCTGAATTCTTGGCTGATAACCATGTACTCATGATTTGTCATCAACTTTTACAATGTGTCAAATTATTTGTTTGGGGATTAAAATTATTGCTTTGAATATAAAAGGATAATTTTTACTTCATTACTCATTTTTTTTTATCAATGTTAAATGAGAATATGCGCTGAATTTCAAGAATTCACAGTTCTAACAGCTGTTCCCATTTCTTGATATCAAATACTGAGTAAATTTCTAGACTACCTAAAGAGGAGAGTTTAACAATTTGTAAGCAATTAAAACAATCTTTCCATAATTGACACAGCTTTTTTTTTCTTTTTTTTTTCGAAAGTGCAGATTTGTAATATACCTCCCTTTTAACATTGATCGCTTCAATTACTGAATTAGTAATCGGTCACTTTAAGGTTTGTAAAACTTCTTATCTATAAAACTATTAAGTGTTTTCTTTTAAAAAAAAAATCTTTTTTTTAAAATAGTATTGTTTTAAACTGTAAATTTTTATTAATTTACTGTATACTAATGATTCATGAATTTATAAATCTATATTCATAATATGTTTCATATTTAATTTTTAGCTACATATGCAGCTGCTCCTTTACAACCTCATCTTCCATATGGCACAGTCAGTGTATGTTTATTATATTTCATATAGTATAGATGAATTCTTTTTTATATTAATAAAAGACATTACATTTATGTATTTGAAATTCATCATTTAAATACTTAATGTTAATGTAACAAATATCTTTTAGTATTGTATTCTCTGTGTGCGTAAAATCGTGAAAATTTTTATTTACAAAATTTAAAGCATGTTTTGAGAAGTAAATTCTTCATTTTCAGTGAATGGTTATTATATGAATGACCATTGTTCATTTCATAATAAAACATCTTGTGATTTTTTTATTGCTATTAAATTTTTAACACGTCCCACAATTTGGCGCAAAAATTTTTTTCTGGGTAAATACAGCAAACTAAAAAATTTCTATTACTCTCTAAAAATACATTAATAAATTATTTAAATATTATTGAAGTAAAAATTGAAAAAAGGAAGTGTTTAAAGTCAGGCATTTAAAAAATTTTAATTTGTAGTAATTTTTTTTCCTCCCTTTTACCTGTATGAATTTGAATGTAGTGTGAAATCATGCCAACACATTCAATTCGAATTATTTAAGTTTTTTTTTTTTGTATTTTGACCCAGTTGAAAATCTATTCTTCTATCTCATTTAATTAAATACCAAACTGCTTGAATAAAAAATTTTATAATTAATAGTTACATACTATTTTTGATGATTATTGAGTTATATTCATAGTACAATGGTTTCATTTGGTAATAATTTAATCTTCGATTGACTATTTTATCAGAAAGTATAATTACTTAGATTACCATGAACCTATGAATGAGCAAAACATTGTAAATTTAAAAGAATTTAACAAATTGCAACCAGTTTTAGTCTATGCCTTAATTATTTATTCATTGAATTCTTTGGTGTATATTTAGAGTTATAACACCAGAATGGTGCTGGAAATTTCAGAATAAAAGGTACGAGAGAACAATCTAGATACAATAATTTAAAAAAAATTTTTTTGTATGTTTTTAAAAAATTTATAAGTTAAAGGTTGGCACATCATAAGAGTAACTTAAGTTTTTAATTAACATTTAGTACAGATTTCATTAATATTTAATTAACATTAGAATTTAATGAACATTTTATTTAGATTTCTCTTCAATAGAATATTTTCTATTGGCACCACAACTGCCTTCCATAGTACAGTACAGAACCCGTTATCCGGAAATCAGAAAACCAAAAAACCGGAACGAAATTCGATAAATTTTCCCTCAATTTTAAAAAATAATTTTTTTTTTCCTCATAAGATTTTAGGATTTTTCTTTCTTTTTTGAAAGATGTTTACCTTACCATCATTTTGTAAATAATAATTAGTGTATTACTTCATCGTTTTTTTTTCTTTTTAAGATTATTTCCAAAAAATTTTTTTTAGTTGGGTTTAACAATAAAAAAAACGATTTTTTGTAGCGATTCAGAAAACCGGAAAAATCAGTTATCCGGAATAGCGATGGTCCCGATCGTTCCGGATAATCGGTTCCCTACTCCTGCAAATTTAATGCTTGGAAAAATACATTATTTACAAACAGTGTTTTTATAGGCCTGGGAACGATATTAATTTTTAAAAAAATAATGAAAAATCAATATTTTTTTTTTCTTTTTAAAACCTGGTAAAATTTATTTAGGAAATCTGGAATATGACCAGTATTTGATAGCAGTAACAGTAAACAGCTATTAAGACTCAGTTTAAGTGATCTACGTTTTTTATAATTGTTACTTATGTATTCTGTTGATTATTTTATTTTGTGATATTTTCATGTAGTGGTATTTAGTTCCTCACCAAATCTCATCTTAGAAATGTTTTGATGTAGTTTTTCTAATGAAAGATTATTATGCATAACTGAAATATAATCTGGAATGTCATTGAAACCGTAAAACTTTGTTTCTAAAAATAAAGTGGAAACACAATAAATGATATTACTTGAATGTTCATTTAGTAACAAATACTCTTCATAAATTTGAAAATAAATGTATTCAAATATTATTTTTTTTACATGTTTACTCATTTTATTACTTCTAATCATTAATATTTTTTCTGAACATCACTTAATAAGGTTATAAACTTCATAACAAGTTATTTAATTAGTAAAATTATGCATTAATAAGTGTTTATTGATATAAATTATTGAATAATGTGCTGTAAATTCTCTAGGTATTTGTATGACATTTCGCTTTATAATGTTTATCCTTTTTAGTGACTCAAAGCTGAAATTTTATTTATTGTAGCAAATTATTCAATTTAGGAATTGCATAGAGTAACAGGTGATCAACATTACTATTAAGATACTACAATCATTTTTCTAGCTTGAAAATATTTGATTTGCCAATCTTTAACGATTGAAAGCTTAAGTATTGCATTGAACAAATCAGGAAAGACTACAAAAACAATTTATTTGTTTATATCGTACATCCTGGTTGACATAGAATACGAGTGCTGTCTTCTGGATTTTAATAACACATTTGTTGACAAATATAGCAGAATATGTCCAACTACACATGCGTTAACTGTGAACAAGTTTAATATTCCTGTTTGGCCTTGTGTTTCTGACTGAATTTCAACAAAAATATGACCTTTGACGATTTCTGAACTGGTTTTCATTTTATCATTAAGTCATTTTCACAGGACTTGTAACAAGATGTGACCTTTGCTTTCTGCAAGATGATTGAGTAAAAAAAAAAACCTGGCTTTTAACTTCAACTTAATCTGCGAAACATCAATGCTCCTCAAAAAATTTGATTATAAATATTTATAAGTATAACTATTTAATTTAGGTACTTAAAAATATGAGTTAATTTCTTCCTGTACTACAAAACAGATCATCTTTTGATCATTGAAAGAAGTATAAACAAAACACGTTACGGATTTTGATAAGTCACTCCAGTTGGTCAATAGTTTTGCTTTCTTCGTTTGATTAAACGTTACCCACTAACTCTTATCCAATTATTTGATTTCTCTGACCATTTAGCTATTCAGATTTAAAGTCAGTTATCTAATTAGAACCTTTTATTCTGTGGTAATATCTTGTATTTCATCTAATTATTCATAACATAAGATTTTAATATTAATAAAAAAATATTAATCTAAATATAGTAGCAATTAATTGCTTTTGCCTTTAAATTACAAATTTTTTCTAACTTCTGTTAGTTTTAATAATGTTCTCTGTTAGTTTTGCTAGTGTTCTCTGTTTGCTTTGTAATGTTAGACTTTTTTCTGAATTTCTCTAACCGCTTAATGAATTAAAGTTTTAATTAATTTGTTAGCTACTTAACATACTATATTCTAGATTAATATCTTGTAATACATGTAATTATTATTATCACATTGATAAAAAAATGGCAATAACAATTATTCAGTTTTGTCATTATAGTATGTTATTTTGTACACATTTAATATCTAAATATGATTTTTCAGTTACTGGAGTATGATATTTTGTAATTATTAATAAAGTAACTTCAATTATTAATGTATAATTTTTAAAAATGACTATTTTTATTTTTAATATAACTTTTATAAATTATAAAAAATCACGAAAAAACTACCTAATTATTAAAATAGTATAGTAACAGCTGGTCAATATGGTATAAATTTTATTTTTAATGTCCACCTGTGCACCCCAATTTAAGCTAAAGTATTCATAATTGAATTTTTATTCTTTTGTTGATTTGAATTACTTTCTTATTAATGATATCTTAAAGTAATTTTATTAGTATTCTACGAATATTTGCTTAAGAAACGGTTCAATATTGCGGATACATTCTTTTTTTTTTTGTTTTCTGAAGCTGTTTCAAAAAGCTGAAGTTGTGTTAGATTTATAATGCTGAACTCCATGGCAAAATCACGGCGAAATTGTCACAGATATTTTTTACTAACAGTTGGGCTGAAAAGTTCGTAGGCTAGCATAGAAAAAAAATTTTTTTTGATGAAATTTCATTTTATTATTCAATATAGTTTCCTTCAAGGGCAATACTACGATTATAGCGGTCATATAATTTTTCGATACCATTTTTATAGTACGATTTGTCTTTAGCCTCAAAATAGGCCTTAGTTTCGGTGATTACTTCTTCCTCGGCGCTGAATTTCTTTCCAGCGAGCATTCAAATGGGGCCGTTTTTCTGCAATTTCGCAGTTCAAGTGCTCCAATAACGCTATGTAATAGTCGCTGTTGATGGTTTTTCCCTTTTCAAGATAGTCAATAAATGTTATACCATGAGCATCCCAAAATACGGATGCCATAACTTTGCCAGCTGACTGTTTCGTCTTTCCACGCTTTGGAGTTGGTTCTTCTCGTGGAGTTCACTCGGCTGATGGTCGATTGGACACCGGTGTGAAATTATGGAGCCGTGTTTCACCCATTGTCACATATCGGCACATAAATTCGGGTTTATTGCGATTAAACAGCTTCAAACACAGCTTAGAATCATCAATACGTTGCTGTTTTTGGTCAATTGTGAGCTCGTGCGGCACCCTCTTCGCCTAGAGCTTTTGCGTACCCAAATATTCATTCACGATATGTCCAACACGTTCCTTTGATATCTTTAGAGTCTCAGATATTTTGATCAACTTCACTTAATGGTAATCTAAAGCAATTTTGTGGACTTCTTTGATGTTTTCGTCAGTAACATCCTCTTTGGGGTGCCCACTGTGTGCATCGTTTTCAGTGCTCATTTCGCCTCGTTTAAACTTAGCAAACCACTTCTCAATGGTTGATTTTCCTGGTACAGAGTCCGAATAATGTTTCTCAAGCCAAGCGTTGGCTTCAAGAGTATTTTTTTCGCTGAAAAGCAATACTTTATAAACACACGGAATTACTTTTTATCCACTGTTTTTAAACTAACAAAAGTTGCTTAACTAAAAATACTATATCTCACAAACTAATAGTCCGACAGCTGTCAAATTTATACACGTGTCTTTCGAAGGTTAGAACTAACTAAAAATCATATGTACTTAATAATAGTACCCCCATCTATGTGTCAGCCTACGAACTTTTCAGCCCAACTGTTACAACAACCTAAATCTTGAAACGAAACACGCATTTGAGTAACCCCTTTTTGAAGAGTTCAATTCTCGTGATTTCGTCATAGATCTTTTTTCAGCAATTACTACTGATTTCATGATTTTGAATTTTTTTTTTATTGTTATGATTATTTACCAAATGTGAGGAAGGAAATAATTAGTGCATCCCCCCCCCCAACAAAATGCGAGAATATCACCCAAAATATTAGAATAAAAAATTATTACACGTTGAATTAAAAAAAATATATAAATTTTTTTTTTTGTAAACGCAGAGCTTTTGTTAATTTAAATTAGTAACATATATGTTTGTTATTATTAAAAGTATCTTGCAGAAAGATATTAGTGCTAGAGAGTTTTTTTGCAGATAGCTGGAAAAAGTTCTGCCATGCCAATTCTGGATGCTGACTAATGTTTTTTTATTTTTTTACTTCCAATGAGCTGCACAATCGGTCTTGCCGATGAGCAGACCTAGTGCGTTCTCCAGAGGTGGTATCCACTCTTTCAGGACCACCACAATGGGTGAGATACCATTGGTCATGTTAATTTGGACGTCTAGTTTCTGCCACATTAGATGGCAGCACGGAGACTCTATTTGTATGCTAAAGTGTACTAGGAATTTAGTTTTGCCGGAAATGCCAAGAGCCAATGATGCACTCCAGGGATCTTTTACATGCCGCATAATCATACGACATGGCCGCTGAGGATTTTCTGCATCCCGAAAATCCGGTGTCTGGGCCGGGGATCGAACCCGCAGACTTGGGCTCAGAAGGCTGACTAATGTTATTATGATAAAAAGCTGTTGATCCTAACTAGAAGTGAATTTGTATCAGTGTATCTGATACTCAGTACTTAAAAGTATCAAATACTTTAAATGAATACATCATGAACTGAACATGTTCAATTAGTATCATTCATTGTTTTTTTTTCTTTAAAATATTAACTTTAATGAATTCTCTACAATTTATTGGAAAGAAAGTTATATATTCAGCTCTAGATGGCTGAAACTATTTTTTAAAAGTTTGTTGCTGGATTAATTTAAATGATTACACTCATCTGTTCCACCCAGTATTATTTGGTAATATGTTATACTAATCTGAAGCTAGGCTCATTTGTGTTCATTTATTCAAGACCAATGAAGCAAAACTTTGATTTCTGAAGCTGTTACAATCTTTTAGCCTCGGGCAATTGTTTGATTACTTTATTGAATTACAAATTACGTTACTTGGATTGATTAAATTTTCATGTTACATAAAATTGATTGCTCTCATATTTTTTTAAGTTCATTCTGCTTACGCAAAATTTGATATGTTATATTTTCTTTGATAGTTTTAAACAGAATTTAATGTGTATAAAAATATATATTATATCTGTTACCGTGAAAGACCAAAATCAAGACTTTCGCATAGTCGAATAGGTGAATGTCACAAATAATTAATTATTATTTAAATGTACCCTCTTTATTATCGCTTAAAAATAATCCCTTTCCAAAGTGTGTTGTATGTGTCAAAGTTTCATAGAAATTTAGTTTATGCAGTTCCATTAAAATGATTTTATGGTTTAATTTTTTATACTTTATTATTTTGGGTATTATCTATGATACAATAAATCTTATCTATGATAATTTAAATCTTATTATTGCCTCATTAATTAATGCATAAGTCTGGCAGGATTGCATGTTTTTAAAAATATTCAAAGATATATTTGATATTGATAGAAATATATTGATTATATTTGAAATTGTATTAATGAGAAATGATAATATTTGTCATGTTGCTTAAAATATGAAAAGATATGTGAAACCTATATTTTTAATGTAATTAACTGACCTCTTAAATTCTATTAGTACTTCAATATCAATAAAAAAATTTTTTTTAATTGTAACTGATTGTATTTATCTTTTTTTATTCCGAAACTTTTAATTACCTGTCATATCTTTTAAATACTTAAATGTGTATTTATTGTAATGATTATTTTTTTTTAGGTTGCTCCAAATATCACAGCATTTGGTGTGCAGCCTACATATTTACCACAATTAACTCAAGTCTATTCACCGAGACCAGGCACTGTTTATGTCCCTGCTGCTGCAGCTTATGACGCTAGCGCACGCTTTGATGGGCACAGCATGCCTGTTGTACCCGTAAGTAGGCTCTTGTTTAATCTTTCATTTCTTCCTGTTCTAACGTGTATATTTCTGATATGAGTCTTCTTTAATCCTTATTTTTTTTAATGGGTTGAGTATTTTGAAAAAAATAAAGCTTGTGGTGTGAGAAAACTTTCGTACCTCGAATTTAAAAGTAAATGACTACTTAGTTTTAATTAAATTCTCTCAAACTCACATATTTGATTTTGAAAAATTTATACAGTAACTTCCAGTTTGTAAGTTCACTGCTTTGTAGAATCAGCTGTTTATTGTAAGGAACAGAATTACAATGAAATCTACTTGATCATCCATCTAAAAGTGTTTAAAAAATAAGGGAATTATGGCGTTTTGGTCAGAGGGGCAATGTGGCTGTTTTGCACCTGTTTTCTAAGAAATTGTCTCTTTTTAAGTGTTATTTAATAATAGCTGGAAACTCTACTGGATTTTGCCAGTTTCTCCACTGGTTTCATAAAAATTCCCTATCCAAAGAAATTTTTTTTACAGATTATTGCCTACTTGAATATTTAAATAAGAATAGTAATACATAAGGAAGTGAGCCTCATTTATAAAATTCAGTTTCAATCATGTTCATTTAATGTTAATCATAACTGCAAAATATTAGTACATTATGCAACAATTATCTTGAAATTTATATTATTTGGTAAAATCTATTGGATTTTTTGCTATTCATGTTGGCAGCTATGCAAGTTCACCCAAACAATAATTATTTTTATAACTGTCTGTTTTGGGGTCTTGGGTGTCAGTAACAGTCCATTTGAAATCGTTCTAATTTAAATGATTCGTGGTCTTAGTGAAATATAATAAGAATAATTTTGATTTGGTAATGTTTCAGGGTTTGTAGTTGTCCTGATATTTTGTTTGTTTGTTTGTTCAGAACATAACATTTAGTCGTACACATGATTTTGAAATAATTTTGATTTTTTTTTCAATATTTCTTTATCTAGAAAAGAAATAAAGACTTGTCATTGTTGAAACTAGCAAGTTTTTATTTAAAAAAGTGATTCAAATGAAAAAGAGCGTGGAAAAAAAACCCCCTCTTTTTTTTATATCATTAACTATTTTGTATCTAAAATGATTTGTGATTATTGAAGTTGTTTAAAGGAGCTCAACTTAGTGTGTTATTTTGAATTCTTTCGCATGCATTTTCTTGTAATGTTTGGTTTTATTTTTGTTTTCTTAGAAAAAAAAGGCTAGAGTGCTCCTCTTCTTAAGTGCCAAAAGTATTTTTTTCTCAGTACTTTAATTTTGCATAATTTTTTTTAAAAATGAAAGTTTTTTATTTTGAACAAACACTTTTCACTTAAAGTTTTTATCTGATACTATAAACTGATTAAGTCATATTACATTCTATTTTCAGACAATCCTTTTAACACTTAATGTTATTTTATTTTAATAACTTGTGAAAATAGACCCCAAATAGAAATTTGGGGGTGTTTTGCAAAATTTTGATTGTGTAAGTTTTAACACGCTTTAAAACTTTGTTGTTTGAAATGCACATATTATTTCTTTTTATTTTGTTTAAAATGATAAACCTTCATAATTCTTAAAATCGCTTACATACAATAGTTCAAAATTAAATACTGTCCTCTGATTATTTATTGTTCGGATTTAAAATCTTGTTTCAGTCTTTTGATCATCTTATATAAAAAGAAACGCATTTTTTTCTGTCAGAATTTTTTCCTAATATATCTGATTGCTAATCCAGGGTGCGTAGCGTTTGTAAAAAGTACTTAAAGGTGCATTTTTTGGGGATTTCGTTTTTAAAAGCTTTTAAAGGTGCTTTTTTCAGCTGGCGTNTTACAGATTTATGCTTTTTGTAATTTAGATAAAATTTTTAGCCCAAAATTTTACAATACCAAAATTATTTTTGAGTATATAGGGAAAAATATATAGAAATAAGTCATAAATGATATTTATTTGTAGTGACAATTTTTGAAAATATTTTCTTCCTTTACCATATTTTTGTGTTGATTTTTTAAATATAATTTTTTATTTGCACTAATTATGTCTAAATTTTCACAAGATAGGTACCTCTTAAAAAAACCCAGACAGATCAATGATTTTGCTCTTTCATAAACGACACACCTTTCCAAGAAAACAAATATTATTATCATTTCAAAAAAAGACTTTCTGATATTTTTCACTAGAGTTACATTATTTTTAATTTAACTTTTGTAACTTAGTGATAATAGTGCTTGAAAAGTTTTTAAAAAGTGCTTATTTTTGATTCAAAGATTTGGCTACGCACCCTATAATCGAAAAATGATGTCAACAATAAATTTATCAACATTACTGAGTAATAAATATAAAAATTTTACCTTTCCCATCAGATAGCAGTGAAAACATTGTTTTTCATTTCTTATTCATTTCATTTCATTCATTGCCAAGTTGAAAGTACTTATACTTATAAATGTCCATTTATTTTAAGCAATAAATAAATTTTTTATGTTGATGATTTTATTTGTAGATTATTTTGTATTACGTTTTCTTATATGTTTATTTTTATATACATTTATTCTTTAGTATGTAGATTATATACGATTAAGTTTTGAAGTTATTTGTTTTCGCTATTTTTGCATAAAAATAACTATAGTTATCAGTTTTCTTTTGAACTTATTTTAATTGATCTTAATACTGAAAAATCGGTTTCTTAAGACAAGAGAATTCATGAATTTCTCGCTGTTTGTATCGCATGCATTAGTGTTAAATCACACTTTTAAAATCATTTCTGATTAACTTGTTCCTACCTTAATTTTTTATTTAAAAATGTCAAATGTTTGTGTTTCTTTATTTTATTTGCGAAAAATGTTTTGAAGAGTTAAAAAGAGATTAGCCGCTAGGACTGGGCTATGTTAAGACTTTGGCATCGCTATGTATTGTTTCGGTACATTAATGTTTTATATTCGGTACTGCTTAAATTTGAATTCCTGCTCTTTTTGATTGACTGTTCGATTAACGCAATTATATTCTTGAAATAAACTCAATCTGAGTTACTCCTCTCTCCATCTTACATTTAGTTCATTACTATCACTATTTAAATAAAAAAAGTAAGAGGACTCCTGAAATAGAAGTAAAATATTACCCTTTTTTTCCTGACCTTAAAACTTCCCCTTCTAAATCAATTTAGTCTTTCTTCCTCTTCCAGTGGTTTTTTGAACGTGTGATTTCTGTCTCGCTGTTCTTCTTACTCGAGCATTGTTCCTTGAAATTCGTAGTCTTGCAAATCGGTTGCTAATGTAAAATCCCTGTGGCAAAATTGTAGCGACACGGCTACATTGTCGCAGAACGTTACCGATTTCTTGCAGAAAGATTTTTCTTTTGGGAAGTAAAAGTTTTTTTTTCTGCAGACATTTTCGAAAGATTTTATTTTTTCTTCAGAATTATATTCAAAAGATGCCTTTCTATCGCATCCGAGTGGAAAAAAATGCTTTTTCTATTCTCATTTGAGAACAATGAAAAGTACAGATTAAAGAAGTAAAAGATTTGGTTTTCTCTTCAGCAGAAATTTTTGTTCTAATTCTTTTACTATTGATTTCCACATAGTTTTAAAATCCAATATTTTTAATATTAAATTATTTTATTATCTCAAAGCTAAAACACACATTTAATAACCCTTTTTTGACGAGTCCCATTTACGTGATTTCGTCGTCGATCTTTTTTTTTCTGTAGTTACTGCTATGAATTTCACGATTTTTTAATTATTTTTTTTTAATGAGATGATGATTTACAAAATGTGAAAAAGGAAATAATTAGTGTGATTTCCTCCTACAAAATGCGAGAATATAGCCCATAATATTAGAATTAAAGAAGAATATATTAAACATTTTATTAAAAAAATATTTCATTTGATAGAACAGTTTTTCATTTGATTTTCTATTCTATTGAAGTTGATGCTTTTGTTACTTTAATTTAGTAACATGTATATTTGTTATTTTTAAAAGAATCTTGCAGAAAGATATTAGAGAAGTATGCAGAAAGCCTGAAAATATTTTGCCTCAGGGTGTAAAATGACAGATAAAGGGGGAAAAAAGCACTTTCTTAGAACTTTGCTATGATTGAGTATAAAAAACCCTTTTGTCTGATTAATACTGTTATAATTTCAGCCTCCACCTCCAGGGGTGGCGCCAAATGCTGCTCAACTGGCAATGATGCAAGGGAATCCGGTGGTGCTAAGCCAACAGAAAAACAGCTTTTTGACCGGTGGAAGTGGTGCAGGTTACACCTTCTGGTAGAGGACCAAAAAGGAGCAGGGCTCACCTCTTTTCTAGCCAAGCTGCAATGATTGGGCACTGTTGTTGATGACATCTTATATGCAATGCATTTTTTTAAAACAACCTTTTTTCTTAATACTGAAAAAAATTCTAGAGTCTAATTTATCTTTTTTTTCCCCATTTTTCATTGTAAATTATTGAAGCCTGATTGCATATATATTATATATTCTATAGAAGCTTAAATTATATACATGTATTATGGAAAAATGTGTATATATATTTGAGCTGTTTTGTTTATTTTGTAAACTAAGGATGTAGTTGAAAATAAATGTAAAAAGTAGAATTTTTGTTTTGTTTTTCTCAAGGCGCCAAAAATCTCAATTTTTACATACTCAAAATGCATGCTCGAACATCTTTTTCCGAATATCCGGATGCCGATTATCCGGACTGATCGGAGGCCGATCCGGATAATTGGCCAAATTAAAAAAATGACTATAGGAATGTTTTTAAGTAGCTATACCCTTCACACTTCTTCCAGGCTAATGATTGGGAATTGTAGTAGTACCTATTAAATCATATTACAAGTGGGGTGATCATATTGCAAACTTTGTTAGAAACCTGTTCCCTTATTTCGCACTATTTACCACCCAAATTGAATCTCGGTAGAATGAACGCGAGGTTCTTCTTTTCAAGGGACAAAAGCTATATTTCGACCTTTTTAAGATATTCGTGATTTAAAGAAGTATTTACAAAAATTAAAAATAGGCGAAGATGGGAAAAACACATGATCCGGATAATATTACAATTGAGTATTTCAGCTTTCGAATAATCGACGCTCTACCGTACTTATTAATGAAACTGTATGGGTGTTCATTTGATTTGTCTCTCAGGAAAAAATGACGCAGACAACACTTAAATACAGTCTACTCTCCTTAGTGCGACTCTTCCATTATATCGACGGATAGATTTAATTTCGTTTGCGAGCCCTAACTGTACTCTTCATTCCAATAGAGTGACCAAAATTTAGTTTGAAAATTACTTCAAAAAAATTTTTTTTGAGATGATTCCATCAACAGATTCATTTGATTAAATAAAACATTTAAAAGAAGTTATAAAAATCATACCCTACATTAAATGTGAACATTTTGAGTTTTTTATGGATGAAGGAATAATGACAAGATTCTTGTCTAAGGTGATCGAGATCTGTGGTAAAAAAAGGAATGGGAAATATGGATTACTTCACATTGATCATTAAAAGAGAATGATTTAGCATCATGGGCACTCAGTGCAGTATGCGTTCGTTGAAGTTAAAATTATCATAGTACGGCTTTTCTGTATTAAAAATGTTAAGAAATCTAGCAAACTTACAAATTTTTGAAATGTTGAATTTCTCACCATTTTAATGTTTACAGCATTTCCTTCATAATTTCCAAAAATATAGTTGTTAACTTGTAACGCAAACATTGTTTAAACTTCCGTTAACCTGTAACACTGACATTTTTATGAGAGTGGGACTTCAATTCAAGCAGTTAGTGCAGATCTATTCTCATAGTGCATTCATTAAAATTAGGCAATGGCGTGTATTGAAGGCAGGGCCTATTTTAAATTCAAGGTAAAAAAAGATTCCGTTTTCATTTAATAAAATATTAATAGTTCTTTTCTAAAAAGAGGACACTTCTTTGAAAATCTAGTAAGTTTTACCGAAAAAGTAAAACTTTTATTTAGCGGAATATGTGAAATACTCCTTATAATGACTCATTACCAAAAATACTCAAAAGTAACGCTTTTTGGTGTGAGGGACAGTAAATGGACTTTAATTATTTACATTATCGTTACATTTATAGTTTTCTATTCATAATTTTGAATAGTTAATGAACACCAAATGGACATTTGAAAGTTTTAGTTAATTTCTATGATTAAAAGTATATATATATATTTATAGTACAATAAAGACAAAAAAGAGAGAAAAACGAAGAAAATAAAGTTTTATTATTTGTGCATAAGCTGCAAGTATATGGAACTCATAAAATAAGTTAAAAATATAGGGAAAATATGTAAAAAATATAATAAAGATTAATGAAAAGAGAAGAAAGATTATTAAATAAAATATTATTAAAAAATTTCTTTAAAAAAATATTTTATTTAATAATTTTTCTTTTTTCATTAATCTTCATTATATTGTTTTCACTATATTTTTAACTTATATATATTGATAATATTATGTATATACTATATATATTTTGAGTTGAAAATTTGTTCTCCTGTTAAAGTTGTCGAATGTAATTTTTTTTTTAAATTTAGGAGAAAAATTGAGCGAGCCAAAATCATGAATTCAGATTTTTATTTTAATTATTAAACAGAAAGAAATTTTTTCAAGATAAAAAATATAATTTTCTAATAGTTTATTTAATAAAAATCACTAAAAAGATTAATAATAGAACTATATAATAATAGAAAATTGAGTTGCTTATTAATGCCTAAAAGCTTTAAAAAACACCTAGTTTGATTTCAACTAAGTTTGAAATATCTGAAGGGGATGGCCTGAATTGCACAGAAATGTCTGTTTCAGAGACATCAATTATCGAACTTCCACAAAATTCAAAGAAAGAAAGCAGGATGTACATTTCTAAAGTTCAAATGGCTATTTATCGTCACAAAAAAAAATTATTTTTTAAAATGTATTTGATATTTCCATTCTTATGATAAAAAATAACATTGTTTTCATTTAATAAATATTTTTAGTCGGATTTTTTTGGAGTTTGGCACTATGTTTTACACTTGAAGTCTTTTATTTTTTTCATTCTTTCTTAATTTTAACAGCTTCTGCAAGAAATTATTATTCGACTTTTATTTAAAAAATCATTAGACTTTAAATATTTGTGCCCTCATTAAAATAAGCGTCTAGTCACTAGTGAAAGTTGATTTTATTAACACCCGTCAATTGTAACTGGCAGGTTAATTGTTTACATAATCATGATATTAATATAAATATGTTTTTACAATTTCGAATCGAAGTTTAGTTTTTAATAAATAAATAAATTAGATGATTTTTTTTTCGTTCGTTTGAAATTGAGAATTGTTAAATAAGTATGTTTAAATGAATCGAGATTCGAAGAATTTATATTTTTAAGATCCTCCTTTAAGTGGGAATAACCACATTCTGGTAAGTTATGTTCCTCAATCAGGAAACAGATAAAAAATTTCAACCTCTTCATCTTATTTTCAAATTTTGCGTATAATGGGAATCAAATACCGTTTGCAGCTAAAGTAATATTTTGTAAAAAAAAGTACTTTTTTTATGCAATTTTTGATAGTAAAGTATACATTTTAGAATATATTAAAATGCGTCTTTGTTGAATAATTGCAGTTACTCAACTGGGTGCGTAGACAGAACGGAGTTTATCGACTAAAGTTATATAATTTAAAAAAACAAATTATACTTCAAAATAAAAATTTTTTGGTTCCTTTTTTAAACTTAATAATAAAAATTCTTAATTAATTATTTTACTTATTTTTGCAAGATTTTAAACATGGATGAAGAGTTTTATTATCGGCGGCAGGAAACTTATGATTGATTCGATTTGTTTTAAAAGCATGATAAAACATATAAAATTAGTACTGAAATTGTAAAAACTGATTTGAAATCCATCGTACATGTCAGGTCATTGTTTTGAAACTTAAATTATCACCTTCTCTGCTTAATTAGAATGTGTTCCGAATATTGCATCTGAGTACCGAATATTTCTATTTTTAGTTCATCTACTCTGAGTAAAACGTACTGTTTCAGCTCCTTCTATAAAAATACATTTTAAAAAATTAAAAAAAATAACATCTTTCAGAAAGAAAAAAAATTTGCTCTTAAAAAAAATTGTTCAAGGGAATGCCTCACATAAAATTTCCCTGTTTAGGGACTCTTTTTTTACCAGTATCTTTTTTTCCACTGACCTTTTTTAACGTCTACTGAAATTTTGATCGTTACCCAGAAGACAAGGCAACTCCTAGATCAAGCATTGGGACAATTGATGGAAGGATTGATTTGATGTGAAGGATTTTTTGATGGAACTGATTCGCTTTTGCATTACACAAAGACAAAACTTAAATGATTGTAATATTGTGTAGGAGCTCATAAATCCCTCATCTATTGGGTGGAAGAAAAAAAGCACCAAAAGGAACTACTGGGAAAAAAACTCCTCGGTAGTTATTATATGGATTTTACAGCCTATATAATTCAGACTGCAAAATTTAATGTAATTAAACATTGAAGGACATAAGATATTTTTTTAAAGTATAATTTTTCGAAAAATATGTTTGTCAAGTTCTCTCGTTTCATCAGAAGATTTTTATTGCAGATTTAAAATGGTAGTAAATTTTATGTTTTAACATTAAATTTGTTGCGTATATATGTAAAAAAAGAGAGAGACAAAGCTGATCGCCATCTGCAGCCAGAAACATTAAACATTTGAGCACTAACATCTAAAAGAATTATTAGTTGAGTCGCAACTTCTGAGCCACCCTAGCTAAAAATTAATATACTAGTTTATTTTAATTTCCAATTAAACTTGTCATTTATGTATACATAGATTGAGTTTGATAGTTACTTTTGAATTTTGCATGAATTTAATTCTTCAAAATCAATAAAAGTTATTTTGTAGCCGTAATTGATTTTGTACTCTTATTTAATCGCCATTTTTTTCGTAATTCATATTGTATAATTTTAACTTGCACATCTCCTTTAATAATTTACATTTTATATTGCTATACGTATTAAGAATTACTTTATGATAAGTTCAAAAGTTTAACCAAAATGTTTGTTTCATTTCAATACATTAAAGTACAACAAATGGTAGAAAACATGTCATATGCATTCATGAATAAAATGTGCATTTAGTGCAGTTGTTCCCGTGAATGACCGAAAGCAAGAGAATGTCGACTTTCACCGGTGAATGTCGACAATCACATAGTCGCTTTGGTGAATGTTCGATCTATTTGTTATATTCGATTTGACATTAATTAATTCGTTGATATTTTGGATACATCAGAGAAACATCAGTGTTTCATACTTTGCCGGTAACATATACATTGAAACTGAAATATGTGAATTGTTAAAAAAAAAAAGAAAAAAAACTGCTACCATATTCGTCCCACTCCGTGGCAACGTAGAATGCCGGGTTAGGGACCCTTCTCACGGCATGCGAAATAAATCGCGAATTCGGAGATGTGAACGAGAATCGGATCGGCGAGCTTTTTGTTGTTAAATATGTTCCACTCACAAGTTTCTTATTCGCAAATTCGAATTTGCATTCGTGATATTTTCGCATGCAACGGTCATTTACACAGTTTGGTATGACCAGACATAGGATTAGAACTGATTAAAACAAATATTTTTGAATAAGAGATGCATTAAGTGACGAGTACAAAGAATGAGACATAAAATAATGTTTATTTTTCTAGAAGAGGTTTGATCGAAATCAGTTGTGGTTTTCAGCATGATTGAAGTCCCTCCTTTTCAAATTTAATTCATATTAAGATGCGTTGAAACGTTTGATCGGTCAGTCTTTTATAGTGTGCTTTATATTTTATTGGATAAAGACAATTGAAAAGTTTGCTATGAAATAGAAGTCTGTTCTATAGATAACATGCGACCCAATTTTCTTCACAACTGGTGGCATTGAGGTGGCTTGTCACCGAAAACTTAACCCTAACTAAAAGCATGTTTTTTATGCGTACCGTTAATACGATTAAAGTTAAGCAGCAGCAAATCAATCGAAAACAGCAGTGGATTATGAATGAATGCCGACTCAAAAAATACTAGGAATTATGAATGAATGCGAAACTGAATATTTTAACACATTTTTAAGAGATGGGAGTCTAATTTATAGTTTTCTGTATTAAATGACATTTGAAACATTAGAAATTCTTGTCAGGAAATATTAAAATTTGTGTCATATATTTTGTCATTAAAATTTTTTTATGGTTATCCCATTTATATTTTCTGTCTTTAGTACTTCATAATCCCATGAATATCAAATCTTCCTACTTTTTCCGGAAGTTTTTCTTCTTCTGAAATTTAAAGTAGTGGCAAGCAAAATTTATGCTTTGATAATTTTGCCACTCTTAATTCAAAACTTACAATAATGCATTAAAAACTCGAAAAGATGTTACTCGGCATTTCCTAGAAAATTACTTATTTATAATTGAAAAAATAGCTCCTGACTTAATAGCTGAGTAATGTTCGACACAAGCTAGTCCTTAGGGTTATTTCGTAGTGATTATAGCACGTCTTCTTCCAAAGCACTACAGCCTGATGGTTGCCTTAGTCAATTTTCTCCCACTGGATCTCCTTGATGCAAGGGCCATCCAACATGCTACTGTGATGTCATAAAAAAATTTCAGCATTATCTATCTGATATACTGCCGCAAGGTTTTATTTTATTTTATAACCGTCGTTGGGCAGTTTTTTTGAGTTGAACAGAACCCAATTTTTGGGTTTACGTCTGCTAATGTTTAACTCCATAACCTTGTAACCTAATCCAGAAGACAATAGAACTCTTGGATCAAGTAATGGGAGAAATTTGCGTTCGTGGTGGACTTTTTTGATGGAACTAACTCGCATTTGCGTTATATGGGGAGGAAAACCACGAATACCTTCCACGGTCAACCTCACGGCAAGGGGACTCTAACCAATGATCCGTCTACCACTAAGAATATTTTACGTCAGCACTGTGGTTTGTGCAAGTCGGGTGCGGAATTCGTATCGACGCTGAAATTCAAACCCGGTTCACATATTGGAAGGCGAAAGCTCTATCCCCTGAACCACCAGGGATCACTGTAATACGATTGAAATACAGACAAACATCGTGAGTGTTTCACGAAAAGTTTCGAGAAAAGTGGTTTGACTACTATTTTCCTTCTACTGCTAATGCTATGATCGCTGAAAGAGAATTTCAAAAAACTGATAAAGCAAAATTTATCTTTGAGAAGAAGTTTTATTATAAATAAAAAACTTATCATACAAAAATAACAAGTGTAAAAAAAATCTAAATTTTGAATTTTTGTCGTTTACATTGAGTTTTTATTGCATGGTAGTACAGGTTCTTTCCTTTCACTCTTCTGGAATGATTTTTTCTGAAAACTGTTTGTAAGAAAAATAGGGTAGAATATTCATGGTTGAACAAAGTGGATATTTTCTATCACTAGCTACCACCTTAAGTTTTTTTATTAAAAGAAAATCCCGCCATTGTGAAGATGATTCTTAAACTGTATAAAAAACGATTATATATTTTATTTAATATGGTGGACACGAATGCATAGATTATGTAAACTTATTGCTAGGAATGAAATAATAAAGTTGCAATCTCTTTGTGGTCATTGAGGTAAACGCATGAACAATGGGTATGGTTCAGCCAATGGGATCAACGGACCACCTTTACTTCCCGACAAGATAGTGTCGATTTAATCCCTTGACATACGAAGACGTTTGGGAGACGTCGTTTGTTTCCCATGTCAAAACAAGAATTGATGTGTCTCAGACGTCTTCAAGACATTCCGTTGCGAGTTGTTGTTGTATAGTGCAATCAAAGTACATTCTATATCAAGAAATTAATAATTCCACAGAGTTTAGAGTTTGTGTTTAATGATATGTCAAGGGGTTAAAGTTTGATGAGTTTCTAGTCGCCATTGAGGATCGAATCTCTGTCATTCACACTTTTAAATTTGTCATAGTTATCTTTTTGAAAAGAGAACAGATTTTTTTAGTGAAGATAGAAGCTTCTCCCCCCCACCCCCACGGTCTTAGAAAATGGTAATTTGATGCCACCTCTTCATTTCAAAGCAAAACTTTTACTAAAAAATGGGTCGTTTGTTGGTGATAAAATCGAATCGAATGTATGCGATATGAGTGTTGAATTATTTATTTTCCGGCGGGTGGTCTGTTTATTATTTCTCCAACCCAATCAGCAAAGTAGCTAACTCTCGTATAGATGTCTGGAAAACCTTCTTTGGCACAACCTGATCCGAATGACGTAATACCAGCCACGTAGTACTGACCATTCAATAAACACTGCAGAGGTCCACCAGAATCACCCTAAAAACAAGAAAACATTACAAGAATAGTGGATTCTATAAATAAAATCATTTTTATGCATTTCACCACACATTACGCTCTGTTACGTTAACAAAGCTCTGGTATAGTAGCTTTGTTACGTTAACATAGCTAATATGCCAGAAGCTCAGAAACAAAACATATGCCTTAAATGAACAGCCCAGTGGTTAGAGAATCCAGTCCTGGGGGGTCTCCGCTAAGACCCACCAAGCACATGCGATATACGTAAAATCTGCGGAATCCTGTGGTCCGTAGCTAAGCAGTATCTGGAGAAAATATCCTTCCTTTTCAGATCTAGGTCTAAATTGGGCTGTCCTAGGTCTAAATCTCTGTCCCCCAAAATTAGGCCACTGACTATAATGTTAACTACATTTTAAAGATTAAAGAAAAAAATGTTTCAAAAGCAATATTTTAACACAGAGTTGTTTCCTTATAACGTCTGTAGCTCTTTTACTTCCTTTTCAAAAAACAACACATTCTGCTTGATTTGACTTGATAGGAGATTCGCAGGAGTACCTGCCGGCGGTAGCGGCCACCCGACTCCTTCAACTGTGTTGGGCTAATTGGCAACTGGGACTGTTGGCATAGATACTACACATTCAGCACTTTTACAATTCAGTATTATTGCTGAACTTCCTAACATGTCCTGGTAGTTAAAGTATATTGTCTTACGCAAAAATAGATGGAAATGTAATTTCTTGACCACACTTTTGTTTCAATAGAACGCTTAAGACTATGTTCTAACTTTTTTTTAAAAAAACGTGATGATATCTGGAAGTACATAGAACGGTACAAAGAATTTTGAAAGTTCGTAGCCGTTGCAAGAAGAAAAAAACTTTATTCTCCAATTGAAGTGTAATAAAAAGATAGTGATTTATTTTTAAGTACCTGACATGTACCTTTTCCCCCTTCGAGTTGTCCAGCGCAGAGGTGCCAACCCTTGATAGGAATCTTGTAACTAGGATAATACGCTTCATGGCAGATGTAGTTGTCCAGTATTTCAATCTCCACTTCTTTCAGGACATTAGAGCCTCGTTTGTCTGAAAATTACAACCTTTCTCATTTCCTTCAAAATTATGAAAGTTGATTTAAAAAAAAGCTTATATGTATATATTAGGGGGCCTTTACTTTTCAACGTTTAATTCTCGCCTCTTATGTAAGATTTTACGTTCATCGGACAGCTACAAGACGACTCTCATCGACCATGAAATTATAAAACTGAGCAGTTTTCGCCCATAAAGTCAGTTTTCCGACGCATTTTTTCTTTTTTATCTCTTTTTTCTAGCAGCTTTTCATTGTTTGCGATTTTTTTCCGTACTTCTGTGGATGGTTGACCGTGTAAAACTAAGCACAGATGGCGCTAGGGGTTAAAATTGGTCGTAAGACTATTCCGGCTTACTGTTACTGCTTTCGATTGATTATTTCGCCTAAGCTTGAAAAAGTGTGCCATCCAATAGTATTATACTTGTAGTGTTTCAAATACGACGCGTTCTTTCAATTTATTTTTCAACGAAACAAACAACAAATGAATTCGGAAGACTCCGCAAGCTTGCTATGATGTTATTCAAAAAATAACAAGCGGCGCTATTTTACACAAATATACCCACGTAAGAGATAGCAATGAAGACATGACAAACCTTATGCTTTATTTATGCTGTGATATGGTTTTCGTTAAATTTGTTTTAGCTTTACTATCTGTTGGAATTTAAAAACTGTTGTGAATGGTAAAATTACGCGTAAATTTAAAAACGCGTAAAATTAATTTAACTTCCCTGAATATTAAGCCTGTTCACGCATCGCCTCGTAAGCATACCATAAGCGGAGGGATACACCGGAAGTTTTCCAAATTTCTTCCGGCATTAGGAAACTTGTTATTGTTTACATTCAGTCAACCATCCATTAAACGGAGGCCTCTGTGCCGTCACCTTTTTGGAAATCTTCTCAATAATAAAAGACAAAAACAAGACCACTTGGAATGGCCCCGCAAAGCACTCATGGTATCAGTGTTCTCGACCTGGAGGCTCCCTGATGGCCCATGCTTTTTATAGACAGGAACAAACTATTAATTCTTGGCTGCTTTCGAAGTGGTCACCTTAAATCAATGAAATTTTCGGAAGGATCCAAGAACTTTGAAATTTGTACCAACTGTTCTTCAGACCAGGCTTCGCCTCACCACATCCTAGCATGCCTGGGGCTCACCAAACAGGATTTAGCAGATGATCCATTGACGGTGTTGGATTTTTTGAGGGTGTATAACGTGTTGGACCTGGTCTAGCACCTAGCACTGCTGGCCAATGGGGGCGTGCAACAACAACAACATGAAGAGGTAGCTGAGGACATTGCTCTGAAGAACATAAATAAAGACGAAGCATACTAGCAGTATGGAAAGGGTCGATATTATCAGTGAGGTATCGCCCACTTCGAATGCTTTATCGTTGATTTTGTGTTTTTAAGCTGAAGGTGGAAAGTATGTTTATGTTTGGTAGTTATTGAAGGAATCAATCGGTCTCAGATGAATATCTTTTTGGCAAAATTTTTATATTGAAAGATTTGATTAAAATCTGTTGCAGAGAAAAGAAATCGGTGTTTAATTCGAAGATGATCTTTTTCAAGAAATTGCACGACTGCTAACTTTTTACGCCTTTGGGGAAAATTTCTTCTGGTGGTAAGTTTATGTTTCAATGTATGATTCGTTGTTGTAAATTTAATTTAAAGTTATTTTCTTCACTACCCAGTGTAAATAATTAAAAATACTCATATTAAATGCCAATTTGTATCATTACTTCTGGACATCTATTTCAATTTTTTACAATGATAAAGATTTCATTAAAATCACCTTCTACAGAAATGAGCACCAAAGACTTTTTTTTAATGAAAATATGTACTGTCTAATTGAAGGCAATCTTATTGCCAAAGAACTCGTGTAAACGTTCGAAATGGAATTACGTGAAATAATTAAAAACAATGATCTGATTGTCGTGGCGGCATCCATTTAACATTCATCAGCAGCCTCACATATTAAACAGTTTAACGAGGACCAAAACCGCACACCCTCGGTTCCTCAGACTAATCCAAGTGGTCACCCACCCACACACTGACCGCAGCCAGTGATGCTTGACTTCGGTGATCTGCTGGGAACTGTGTCTTAACGATCAGTCCACTGCGGGATTTTTAATTTATTAAAAACACATTTTTATGTTTTCAGGAATCAATTGAAATAAAGAAAGAAGCAAAGAAAATCTCACCAAAATCTACTTTCCCCCAGCCTGTTGCTACGCACCTCATTCCCAAGTATCCGGCATCCTCGTCCGGCAAACAGACGGCCCGGATGTAGTCATTGAATTCCAATTCTTTTTCAAGCTTCAATAGGGCAATGTCCTTGTCGTATGCATGATACCACGGATGAAAGTGTACCTCTGACACCTTCACTGTCCTTTCGGGTCCCTCGGTCAGTTTCAGATTGTGATCGCCGACTCGAACTTTCCAGAATACTGGCTGAGGTAAGGTGAACAGAGGGCTGCAATAATTTTTTTTTTATTACAGACTTTTTCCTATGAATTGATTTGTTAATTTAAGTAATTTAGAGTTCAGAGGACAATTCATAACTAGCAGATATTGAGGCGCAAATTTACGTTAGCTTCCATACTCTCCTGCACGAAAGTTATTGCGCATGCTCCCGTGAAATAATATCAAACTTACGAAAGTGAAGATTTTACAAAAATTCGTAAGTTAAAAACGCTAAAGTAGTGGAATATGATTTTAACTTTGACCACAAAATCAAAAGAAACATTAACAATGGATGGTGGCATATGACTCAAGATGCTTTGCTCTACATAAAACTGTGGATCTGTGAGCAGAAAAATTTGGTAGATTGTGATGAATTCAGCGCTAAAGAATGCAGCTTATTATTATTAATAATATTTAGAAAAATATTACTGAACATCTATTGATTATTTAACTTCTTTTAACTAAATTGTATAGTAAAAATTCATATAATTTTGAAATAGCGAAAATATATCTAGTTTCTTGTGGAACTAGTGCAATTAGACAACCGTGACAAAAAAGGAGCATTTGAATAGAAAGGATAACATTACTGATTAGGTGGTTTAATCGTATGAGCTGGAATCAGCATAGGTGGTCGTACTGATCTGCATTTCTTTCGCAATTTGACTGCTCAAAGGATCCTAAGCCCCCCATGTCGTATTTCTTTCTTTTATTGCAGGATAATGTCAGACTTCATGCAACTTGTCTTTTACATAATATATATATATAGCCATCATTCAACAGCCGACCCAGTTTTTGGGCTTACGACCCAGGGCCGGATTAAGCATACGCGAGGCCTTAGGTCATTCAAATTTTTGGGGTGCTTAGATTAAATTTTTTTCTGGTATATATTTTTTTTTATTCAAATATAAAAGTATTTATGTATCTTTTCATTTAAGAAAGCATATTTGAAATAAATCTATATTTAAAAATAGAACTAAAAAATAATCATACATTTTGAAAAATCATTGTTTTTCATAATTTTTTAAAATTTTTTTTCAAAAAAATCCATTTTAAGGGGCCCCCTAGTCATTGGGGGCCCCAGGCCATGGCCAAGTCTGGCCTAATGGGCAATCCAGCTCTGCCGTTGCCTTGTAATTTTTGAACCAATCCAGAAGACAAGGAAACTCCTGCATCAGTATCCACTGAGGTATGATTCGTTATGGGAACATGGAGGACTTTGTGACTCGACAGATTTAGCATGTATCAGTCACTATTTGCTTGACGGGAAGTCTAGACGGAAGGCCGGAGGGGATTGAACTCACGAGCTCTTGGATATGCGCCCAGTGCCCTACCAACCAGGCTATCCCGGCCCATGCAACTCGTCTTGTGGTGAACTTTCATGAAGTTGAAACATTACAGTGTATAGAGTGGCCAGCATACTCTCCTGATCTTAATCTAACCTGCTTGAGACGCAATCAGAAGCTGCAAGACCAGGGCCTCTTGTTACTGTCCAAGACTTGGAGATTGCGCTTCGTCAAAGAGTGAAACAGTATGTCCCAAAATCTCTCCTCGCTAACTTCTTCACATCCATGCAAAATAAGTGTGTGGCAAACTAAGCAGTTCGTTAGAGAGATCCACACACCAAACATCATGTATCATTTTCGCGCAATCAGTTCTTTTTATATCATTTACACATTATCAAATTGTTGCCTTGAAACATCATTTCATTTTCGTTATGCCAATCCAAATAATTAAAGTTCCCATGAATTTTTTTTTTTGTCTTTTTTAAATGTATTGCATTTTATTAAACCTGTACTCTCCAATTTATGTCCATGCATGGCTATCACACAAAAGGTTTCATAACTTTTTTGCTTGCTCTCCTTATTTATTTTAGCAGTGTGTATTACTTTATAGTAAGATTTCAACCTAAAGTAAATTGGAAAAAAGTACAAAGTCGGTTCAATTATAAAATCAGCAATCAATGTGAGATCCTTTGCTTTTGATTACATTTATCAATCTCGCATTCATGGACCCGGATAGAGCTGGTATCAATATTGTTCCAAGACATCTTAATTGCACCCATCAAATCCAACATACTCTTGAATTGTCGACCAGATCTGTCTTTTCCTAATATGCCCCAAAGGTTTTCAATTGGATTCAGATATTTGCTAAGAGATGGCCCCTCAAGGGATTCAACCTCATTTGCCTTCATCCAGATAATGAAGTATGGACTGACATTTGGAAGGTCCGGATGTTATAAGGGGAGAGTAACACGCAATAAACTATCTCCCAATTTATTCTAATACATAATTAAATTCATTTCAGTTTATATAAATATAATTGGAGTTGTTAATGCCTGCTGCAAAAAGTGCATAACGAACCCACCACAAAACTGACGTTTGTAAAATAAGTATGATTCAGTTTGTAAGTCGTACCAAAAATATCGACATCGATCTGATTCATCCAAATTAAATTTCTTTCCTTCAGAAAAGACCACATCACTCCGTATTTATTTTAAGATGTTTCTTTGCAAATGCTAAACGAGCACCTTTGCATAGTTTAGTAGGCAGAGGTTTTACTTTAATATTTATTAATGGTTATAAATATAACTGTTGTAACGTACATTTATTATTTGCTTATGTACTTTATTGTAATCGTGGTATATTCTTGTTTTGTGTACCTGGTAACTTCGATGCATAATTAGTTTGTTTATGTTCTACGTAGCTTCCTGTCTGTCTTTGCGTTAAAAAAAATGAAATCTTTGTGTAAGAATTTTAGAATGTGTTACTTAAGAGAATTGGTACTTGACGGGCTTGGCTTACTCGAAATGGAATGGAAAGAGCAGTTGCTAACGTAAATAAATGCCACGTTTCAACAACCAATCAGGATAGAAATATTCACACTACGTCACTTGCAGGTATCCCATTGAGGCCAAGGTTAAATTGTTGTTAGGGAAAATGAACAACTCAATTTAATGAAGAATAATTACAGGATGATTTACTTGAGAATGCAGTGAGCAGCTGTCATGACCCACTGCTTGTGAATGATCACCGCTCCACACCAGTGACCCACCTTTCCGTACTGAGGATGAGTTAGCATCAAAGAGGCCTGCGTGATAAAATGTTAGTCACACATTAGTTAAAACAGTCTGTGCAAAGCAAAACATATTTTGAAGAATATATAATATTTCTGATTTATACTCCTGCGACCATGTACTGTTAGAATTTTCATTCTAAATTATGGTAAAATTACCGGTAGCAGTCTGTCCGTCCAATTAACCGTAAAATCTATGGAAAAGAACATTTTTTACCTTTACGGTTTTGAAACCGTTTACAACTATTGTGGTAGAAAAACCATGAGCACCGAAGCATAGGTTTTTTTTAAACCATTTACAACTAGGATGGTTTCAGAATCGTAAAAATGAAATTTACTGGAGCATGTTGTTGTTGTTGTTAGTTTACGTCGCACTAGAGCTTCACTAAGGGCTATTGGCGACGGTCTGGGAAGNGTAAAATTTATGGAAAAGAACATTTTTTACTTTTACGGTTTTGAAACCGTTTACAACTATTGTGGTAGAAAAACCATGAGCACCGAAGCATAGGTTTTTTGAAGCCATTTACAACTAGGATGGTTTCAGAATCGTAAAAATGAAATTTACTGGAGCATGGGAGTTATGCTTTTTGGTTGGGGCATTGGGTTAGGCTGCGGCCTATCAAGAGAAAATACTGTGAGGCCAACGCAGGGACTCGCACTTACTTTCGGTTGGTCACGAGATTGACAGATTAACCCTCACGGCTATAAAATGTACACAGCTGCAAGGAACTAAATGGCTTCATTAGGTGGGTGTGATAAAATTCTGGTTGTTTAACCGTATTATGTGAAAACGGAAAATCAACTGTTTTTCTCATAGTTAGCAGTTGGAATATCGTCTTATTTATGATTATTTGACTTTTTTGTTTGAATGTAGTAAAATAAGAATGAAACAAATGGTTATTTAGCTATTTTTTCCGTGAAATTTCTAGCAGTGCTGTGGAAGAAAATAGCATGTTTTGCTTAGAAAATGTTTGATAACAAACCAAATTGAATAAAAGATATAAAATGCGTTTTTGAAAACTTTTATTTAGAATTTGACTTTATTTTATTTTCTTAGATAAAAAAAAAATTTCAAAATCGTTTATATGTTACTGTACATGAATAATGTAGGTCAAGTCAAACATTAAAGTTAATTCACACTCACTTTCCTGTGAGAGTAATATTTGTATTTATCAAAACTCGTTGCAAATTTTTATATTTCACAATTCATTGAGATAGCATGAAAGACTCCGACCAAAGCTTTTAAAGCAGAAAATTGTTAGTTTTGTTGCAAAACTAATGCATGTTATATTCACTCGTAGTTATAAACATTCTATGCATATGGAGTAAAATAGAATATTTTTAGAAACTTTTACGGGTTTTTTTTTTTTTTTGAATAACAGAAATTTAAAAAAAAAATTATTTTAGTTGGTGAGCATTTTTACATGCTAGTGTATGAATCACTGGGGGAAAAAAAAGAACTAGCTCAACGCACCCGGAAAAATCACAAGAATGGAGTCTATAGAATAACACAAAAAAACAAAAGAAAAAAAAACAAACAAACCGAGTTATTAACTTTTAATGAGAAGAATTTTGAAAGAAAAAAATCATGACTGTCTAATGATGTATGAATTAAATGACCCATTATTATTGGACGTGTCATGACATGACCTCACAAATATACATGCATTTTTACATTCTTATTCTAAAGTAAGTAAAAGGGAAATTGTGAGCAAGTAATAAAACTGATAATTAGAACTAGCCGAATGGCGTATATAACTGAACTGGCCCTGCATCAGGGTTTGAATCCCGGGCAAGGAATGGCTGTTTTTTCATTCTCTGTACTATCTGTCCGTGCTGTGGGATCAACGTTGGCCCACCTAATATGGCTCCTGAAAGAGTGGCTAACAGTAGATCTGCCCTTCAGATGCATGTATGACGTCTCCAGGTGGGCATTGGGGGGGGGAAATAATTTGAACTAGAGTTGCTTTAAAAGAGAGAAAGTATAATCAAATGGAACTGATTTTAACCTTAAAATACAGTCTGATGTAAGTAATCTTTTATTTTAATTAATTTTAAGGACTAATAAGTATTTATTCATAATTAACGAGTGAATTTAATTCCAGCTAAGTAATAAAAAAAAATGTTTCAGAGACAAGTGTGTTTCAATATCTTTAAATTTTTTTTAATTTCTTTATTAAAGTCAAATTTTATTTTTAATTTATAAAGTATACCTTGCAAACTAATATTAAATGTCAGCTGAGGAGAAATAATAAGAATTTCAGAAATATTTTAAAAATACAATGAAAGAAATAAAATTTCACGGGTAATTATTTTGTATTATTTTCATTAAAACATTATCTTATAAATTTTCCGTTGTAAAAACATTAATTGAAAATTCAGTGACCGGAAGTATCGCTCTACAAGTAGCGAAACTACTGTAGTCTCCACTTTTTTCCGTGTAGTTTTCAAAGAAGTAGTGTCGTGAGTAGTGTAAAACAGTAGATTGTAGCGATTCCTGGCAACTACTTTTAACGTTAGTCAAATAAAGAAACAAAGTTCAAACGCAATAAAAAAAAATTCGAATCTGATTTGTACAAATTCTTTGCGGGTACGTCAACCTACGCAACGAGAATGCTTCTATGGCCGAGCGTTAATAAGATCTACATCTGATGATCCGAAAAATCGGTGAGAAATCGGTGGAGTTGTTCTTACAAAACTGAATTTTAAATATGTGACTTTTTTTTAAATTTGATTTCACAGGAACTATAAAGTACGTTTTTGTGTCTGATATCGTAACTTAAAATATCGTCTGCATTAATTAGCATAATCACCCCCTCAAACCATTAAGATTCAGTCTTAGAATGTGAAAATCCGATCATTAGATCAAAAGTTATTCAAAGTGGCCCGTTTTTTGCTTTTCGCACTGTACTTTATTTCTTGGAGGATATAAAAAAACATTGATCACTTAAATCACAAATATTTGATAATTTCTTAGCATTTCATAAATCAATGTCGAGAAAGGCATAGAGTTTGAAAGTTTAAAGAACAAATTCGTAAAAAGTGCTTTAGAGTAAAAAACTATTCCATGTTAACATGAACTTCTTAATATCTCCTCCTATTTAGCCAAGCCAATTCTTTATTCAAAATCATTTTGAATAATATAGGCGAAAATTAAGTTCTCCAGTTAAATTTGCCTTCTAAAAGTAAGGAAGTAGTGTCTACATTTCGTAGTCGAAACATTAAGTCCAAAATATTTGTTATATCCGATTTGATATTAATTTATTAGTTAAAATTATTATATTTATTCGATATTTTAATATCTGATGAAAATAGATTAGAAGAAACATCAGTATTCGGAGTTCCGGTTAAATGCATGCTGGGCAGTGGCACTTGACCTTAAAAAACATTGATGTAGGGAATACCGGGCAGTGGCACTTAACTAGAACTAGTATATACTTCGGACATTTACCAAAGTGACAATGTGATTGTCAACATTCACCAGTGTAAGTCAACAACCACCAAATTCGGTCATTCACAATAACACACCCACGCACATGTACAACTTTTTTAGTGACATTTGTTAAATAATTGTATAAGTATTTATATTGTAACTCAGAGATGCCAGCTTGCTTCGGAAAGCTGATAAATATTTTCGAGTGGTTGTCGTTTAATATATTTATAGGGTATTCAAATTATAGTTTTTTTTTTAACCTACTTCAGATGCTTACGTGGTTCGTCATTTTGTTGCAGTTAAGCTTCCTAAAAAGTTGTTGAAAACACTGCAAATTTTAGTTTATAGTTCTCTCCGTTTTTAAAATGTTTTGTCGAATCCGAAACAGTTGGCGCCTTTGTAAAAAAAAAAAAAAACCTGAATGTATACTTACCTGCCAGGGCCATTTATTAGGTTCTGTCTCGTTACCCCCAACAATTCGACTGCTCAAGATAGGACCGATTCCACATTCTAAAATAAATGATTCACCATAAAACATTTAAACGTATAAATTAAATTTTAAAAATAATAACAACTGAACAGTTTCACAAACACGTTACATATGCTGCATAACCCACGTTATAAATGCTGCATAACCCACGTTACAAATGCTGCATAACCCACGTTACAAATGCTGCATAACTCACGTTACATATGCTGCATAACCCAAACGTTAAGTCTGCTTGGTTATAGCTTTTACTTTTTAAGAAACTGAATGAATTAAATACAAACCTTCTCAATGACTTGTCTTTGATTCTTTTTCAGATGTTTAATTTATTTGATTTTTGAAAAGAAATTATTGTTAATTTTTTTATTTCAATTATTTTATCAAATCAAACTTTTATCAAACCTTTATTATTTTATCAAATTTTATTATTTTATCAAACCTTCAAATTATTTTATTATTTTCTTTAACTATTTTTTAACCATTACCTGAAAACCAGTAGCTTTTTTTGTAGTTTGTTTTAAAATTTTGTAACTTTTTTCGTTGATAAATGAAAAGATTTATCTCAAAAACAAAGAAATTAGTTCAGAGGACAGAGAAATTAGTTAAAGGGAGGCCATACCAGAGAGATCCATCTTTTATACGTAGTTCTCACAGATTTTTAGAAAAATTTTGGGAATTAGTAATTTTAATTTTCCGGCTAAGTAAAAGAAATATCATTATAAAAAGAATTATAACAAAATTTAAAGCAAATAGCCATTTTTGATGATTACTTTTCATAAAGAGTCTTCGTAAATGATGTTGCATTTTTTTCATTATTTTTAATCCCTCCTCCACCTTTACCCCAAATCCTGGTCCACTTTGCCATATCACGCTATTTTGCATAAACCTAATGCTAGCAGTTCATAAACAAAAAACTTATACTAGATCATATCTCAAACATTTAATTTTAGCTTTACATTTATTTATGTTGCTTTTTCTACTTTGTTTGGATCCATGCAGTTAGTGAGATATCTCCTTTTAAGATACTTTTTTTCACATAAAACGCACGAAATAAATAGATGAGTGCGACCGCATGGTCGACTGCTTTAATTGAATCACATACAATCTTTTACGTTAGTTAACGCATATCATATTTAACCTGATTAAGCTTAACCAACCGTTATCTATCAGTATACAAATGCTTTAATTTTACATTTATATGCACTACAAACTATATAGTCAACCGTCCTCCATGGTGGTCAGGGAGCTGACCTCATGTAAAAAAGATCACGGGTTCGAATCCCGGTCAGCCTGAACGTTCTTTTTCTCTCTGTAAATATCACTCTTACTGTAGGGGTAATGTTGGTACACCTAATATGGCTCTCCCCGAGAGAGTACATCTGAATCTCTAAATACTATGTGTATATAATACTATATGGGTGGGCACCCGAAAATAAAAATACACACATTTTCCAACTGCTCCAGAATATTTTAATGAAATAGAATGAAAAGAATTTTGCATGCAACTGCGTGTATTTCGATAAATCCTGCTAAAAAAAATACCTTCCAAATGCCAGAGGAAAAAAGACTTAGAATAAGATGGTTAGATAGAGTAGAGAAGTGGTTAAAGGACTTGGGAGTTAACAGATGGAGAAATATAACATCGAATAGATCAAGATGGGGTAAACCAGTAGAGACGGCCTTGGCGGATAACCGGCTGTAGTGCCAAAGTAGACGAAGAAGAAGAAGATGTTTATTTACATGTCACTGATGTTTTTTTAAATATGATGCATCACTTTAGTAGCAGGTTGCAGTTGATCTTATTTTTCTGTCTTCCATTAGATTTTCAAAAGAAACGATTTCATAGAAATTAGCAGGTGGTGGCTTTATCGTAGAATTTTACGTTGAGTGCCGATCTATCGACTCAATTTTCAGGCTTCGGAGTATAATTTCATTTTCAACCGACTCTCTTGCATTTGTAATTGGCTTCTTAATATTTCATTCTAAATTTATTGAATTGAGTTTGAGTTCTACTTGCCCAAACTGGTTAGGATGAGGTGGGTCCTAGTTAGGTACAGTAATCTCTTGAGTTTTAATTTCCAACAATTAAACCAATATTAAGGTTGCCACGGGCGACTAAAAATGTAAAGAGAGGCAACCCGTAAAATTTAATATTTTTAAGCAATTTTTTTTGTAGCATAATTTTTCAGTTTACTATTGAAAGTAAATACAAAGAATGATTTACATGTCGTTGCATGCTATATTGTACCGTTGTAAAAGATTTTACTAAGTGAAAATATTTAACAACCATTAAGTTTGGAAGAATTTCTTAAAAAACAAAGTATAAGAGCATCCATAAAAATAATTAGCTAACATCCTCATTATCATCATCGAAATTGATCGGGTCGCCTGAGACCATTAGCGTCCCTTTTCCCATCCCTCTTAAAATTTTATTTTCAAAAAGACTCTCTTTGATAATTGGAATACATATTTGAGTGAAAATAAAATTATATATCTTGCATTTAAGATAAAGTTGCGTCGCAACAAAAATAAGCCGCCATTGGCCTCCGGTTTATGTCTCTCAAGTTTTCAAAAGTAAAAATTTCATTAAATCCTGCGGTGTCACAATTTAAATCTATGCTGATCTAAAAAATCTATGCTGAGATCATGATGTATGTTCTTATTTCGGATAAACCATCTTGCTTATAATTGACCAACAAATAGATCTTATCTACATATTTTTTTTAAATTATTGATTCGCTATGGTAGTTTAAAAGATTTTTTTTTTTTGAAGCTTTAAATTTTAAGGTTTAGAACGTTAAAACGCTATAATGTTGTTACCACTAGGAAAATTATTTATCAACAGCCGTACAAGCTGGCAGCTTGAACTGATGCTTGTTACGAAGTAACTGTCCTCGAAGTGGAAACCTCACTTTTTCATCTGTGCCCATGAGCAGCTGAAATAAAAAGTCAGTACGAGCGGACAATAAGTTTAAACCTACTTCCATCTGAGGAAACATATTTATAAAAATTAGATGACTCCCACGCCTCCCCTCGGCTTCATGGGTGAAGAGAATGCTGTTTGTCTGAATTATGGTCTAAATCAGTGTTGAATAATGCAGTTGATGATCTTACTTTAATTTTGAATAATGTAAAATATAAGTCACAGCGGTGGTTAAGTTTGAATTACATTATACAATCCAACCTTTAATATATCAGTTTAAATTATTCATATACTGTAGTGGACAATATTTTTTTAAATTCTGATTGTTATGTTAAATATTATTGCATAAGATTTGCTACCACAAGGAAAATTAATTTTTGAAAATACGGAAATTCCATAGTAGTTAATAAGGTACTCATTTTTGCCAACAGTTCTGGTGTTAAAAGACTTTATTTTCATATTTAAAGTGGTAGCGAAACTCATGTTATTCCATTAAGCTTTTTGAGTTATAATGAAAATTATAGAGGAGAAGGTGTAAAAATGGGCACAGGTGTAAATATGGGCACCCCTCCCTAGTAGGTATGGGAGGTACTGAAGACTGGCTGCAAGGACTGTATATGGCGCCAGTTGCTAATATAAGATTGTACAGAGCAGTTGAAACCATTTTTTCAAGTAGTGTGGATGCAGCGTGAGTTATTGTGCAAATTGGTGCTTATTCTGGACTGCAAACTTTTGAGAGGTATGTGAAATCGTTTTCTTTTCACGTACTTATGTTCAGTTAAAAATAATTTGACAGTGATATCCGGAAAGCGGAGATCTTAAGCTATTTTTTGAAGCACACTTTTAGTCACGCACACTTTTAGGTTACTTGTGATAGTGGCCATCCTTCTTAGGTGGGGTTGGTGTAAATATGGGCCCCCATTTAAAGGGTGCCCATAATTACACCAACTTTCTTTAGTGGAGTTTAGCACATCAGGCTCTAGTTATGCCAATTGATAAGGCAGCTGAAATACCTCAATGTTCCCCGGGAACTTCAAGTGCAATTTCTCCGTTCGACATATCTCCTGTTCCCAACATTAAGAAGATAATCACTACTCGTGGTCGCAAAGCAGCAAGGTCCAGCCTCATCACCGGATTACCATACAAGGATCAGTTGACCAAGACGCTTGACAAGTGCTCTCAAGAAGACGTCCTTGAGTTTTTCCGGGGTAAGAGACCGGCCAGAGGGCAGGGTGTGAAGACGAAAGGCCTTCAAAAAAAGAAAATTCGGCCCACGATACGATTCATCATCGGACTCATCAGACTCGATGACCCTCCTCTTATCTACAGCGATGATGATACGAATCTAATAAATGTCAATGGTGGGGATAAACCAGACTCAAGCGATGCAACTTGCAGCTTTTGTGATGGAAAGTTCTCTGAAGACACTCGAGGAGAGGTGTGGGTAAGATGCGTTATGTGCCAAATGAGGGCACTGTGCCGGGGGTGAAAGAGCCAGTTATGTTTGCGATTTCTGTAAATAATTTTTTTTCCTGTAATAAATAAATTCTCTACCATTTTGTATTGTTTTATCCTGTTTTTAAACTATTTTGGTGGCTTTTTTGAAGAGGGCCCATATTTACACCCATTTTTTCTGGTGCTTTTTTAAAAGATTTTTGAAAATCGTCGTTTTTTAAATGAAATAATTGATGTTAATCATTGTTTTGCCCTCTCGCATTTAGGAAACTTGTTATAGCTGTTAATGAAAGATAAAAATCTAGAAATTTTCAAATTGAAAGTAACTTTATCCAAAAAACAAAAGAGGGTGCCCATATTTACACCTTTTCCTCTATATATAGATAGATTGTTTTTCGATAATTGTTTTACTACCACTTGAAAAATCCACTCTCGAAAAAAGTCAAAGTTGACAGGCATGAGGTATGATTAGCTGCCAACTTGTGCGGCCCGTTGATAAATAATCTTTTCAGTGATAGCAGCAGGCGTTTTAGCGCATTAAGTCTTGAAGTTTAAAGTTTCAATAAAATATTTTAAATTATCACTACGAATCAACAATTTAAAAAATATGTAAATAAATTCGATTCATATCTGTCGAATCGGACACCGAGATACTGTGATCTTAGTGTTGGCTAATTATGTACATAAATTTCATTTTTCAGAAAATCCTGTTCTTTTCATACTTAATTGTTGTAATACTACTTCTTAAAAATTGTTTTTCATTGACCGTAAAAGTTGACAGTTATGGGCATGTATTTGGTCTTGCTTCAGTTTCTTACATTAGTTAATGGGATAATATTAAATAAAATTTAAAAAAAATTTGCATTTTTTTTTCTTCAAAAGAAAGCGGTAAAATAATTGAAGTAACATAAAAATATTTTACTTACTGTCGAATTGAGAGTTCCCCGACTGGAGTTTAATCCACAAAAGATAAAGGGAAAATAGAAACGGAGTTGCAGTCATTCTAATTCCAGCCAACATCTTCACTTGAAGAAGAATAAATACTCTAATGGGCTTTCTTCTTTTTTTCCAAAAGTAGTCATCGTTCAAAACCGGATTTTTTTTTACTCATCTTCCATGCATATCGCTAAGTTTTATCAATTTTGGTATTAAAAAAAATTCTTACTCACAGCTGCTGATTTTTGAGACTTCTTGAAAAGAAGTAGAAACAAAACTATTTTGTTTGATTTCAGATAAAAATTCATTTTGATTTAAAATCATTTCGACTTTCACGTCGACAGGAATTTATTCAATAATATTGGTTGATCAACATTATGATTGGATTAGGTGAATGATTTCGTAATTTAAAATATCGTCTGCCCTTATTTCGAGGTCACCCCCTCGAAACATTAAGAATGACTCCTAGCGTGTGAAGATCCGATCTTTAGATCAAAAATTATTCAAAATAGTCCGTTTTTTTTTTTTTTTTGGCACGCTGTACAACAGAAAGTACATTAGCAAGATGTAATACTGTCAAATGTTGAATCCAATCCATTGTAAAGTATGAGGATATATGTATGGAAAATACAGTTTTAGGCAAACAAAATTTTAAATTTAAGAAAACTTATTTTACGCAGTATTGTGAATTAAAAAATAGACTTATCTCTCTTATTTAATTAAATGCAATCTCTCTTGAAACTATTGAAAAATATCTTTTACTATTGTGTTGAACAAAAGCATACATGTTTAAAACAAATATAGAATTTTTATGAAACTTTTATCAGAACATGACTGACTGGCTCTCCGAATTTTTGTTTTCAGATTATAGTAGAAGAAACAAATATTTTCTTGTTTTTCTGTTGAATAAGATTTTTGAACGAATGTTTTATTTTCACCTAGTTGATTTCAATTCTGCAATCGGTTTCTTCCTTCAAGATAAGGTTTTCATGCAATTGGTTACTTGCACTTCAAGACCTCCCATACTTACACATGTGATCTATGACGTCAGGGTCAGGTAATCTTTTTTTTTTTATTTATTTCATTTTATATCCGTCGTGGAACAACCGACCCAATTTTTGGGATTACGACTACTAATGTTCAACTCCGTAGCCTTGTCATTTTGAACCCAATCCAGAAGACAAAGGGAACTCAATACCTCTGGGATCGAGTATTGGGAGAAATTTGCCTTCATGGAGGACTTTTTAATGGAGCTTACCCGCATTTGCGTTACATGGAGAGGAAGACCACGAGAACCTCCCACGGTTAGCCTGACGGCAAGGGTACTCAAACCCATGATCCGCCTACCGCTGAGGATATTTCACGTCAGCACTGTGGTCGGTGCAAGCCGGATGCGGAATTCGTATCGACTGGAAGGTGAACGCTCCATCCCCTGAGCCATCGCGACTCAATACGGATGGGTTTTATTTTATTTTATAACCATCGTTGAACAGCCCAATTTTTGGGTTTACGTCTACTTATGTTCAACTCCGTAGCCTTGTAATTTTGAACCCAATCCAGAAGACAAGGGAACTCCTGGATCATGCATTGAGAGAAATTTGCCTTCGTGGAGGACTTTCTGATGGAACTAACCCGCATTTGCATTACATGGAGAGGAAGACCACGAGAACCTCCCNAGCAGTCAAAATGACTAGATTGTGAATGCGTAAATAAATTTGTTTACAATTAATTTTTAATATTTTTTATATTATTTACAGCTATATGACAAGCTATTAGTAAATATTAACTATAAAAAAAATGTACAAAGAGTCACAAAATTCTAAGAAATTATGTCATTGTACAGATCATTGTTTTTCTAATTGAAATTAAAAGCAGTCAAAATGACTTCCTTAGGCAATCTAGTGTTATATAAATACAGAGCCGTATCGCACATAGAATGAGTTGAAATATATTTCTTCCTCGTCTACTTCTTTTATTTAAATTAGAATTATTATTTGTTTATGTATTTTATTGTAACCGTGATGTATTTTTATTTTATGTACCTTACAACTTCGATGCATAATTAGTTTGTTTATGCTGTGCATGGTTTCGTGCCTGTCTTTGTGTCAAGTAAGAAATGTATAGCGAAGGAATTGAAATCTTTGTGAAAGAATTTGGAATGTGTCACTTAAGAGAATTGATGCTTGGCTCACTCGAACTAGAATGGAAAGAACAGTTGGTAGCGTAAACAAATGCCACGTTTCAACAACCAATCTGTATCGAGATGCCCACACTACGTCACTTGCAGGCATCCCATTGAATAATATATTCATGACCATGATTTTTTAAAATTCACTCGATCGTATATTTCTGAGTGCCCACTTTCTTGCTGCGTAGGGAGTGGTAGGAAGAAGACGATAATTCATTTCAGTTTATAATGCAATACGTTAAGGTCCTTTTTACTTATCTTAAATGTTATATTTTCAAAGGAGCAGACGTATATGTAGCCCTTATTTAACTAAAAGATCCCGAAATTTTTAACTTTACAAAATTATTGGTTCCATAGACTTCGTCAAACATGTGATAAAATTTAAACCCTAAAATTTTGTTAGGTTACCGTGGTAACTTTTTTAACCAACTTTATTTTTTTAAAATTCGTATTTTTTATTCTTAGTATTGTTCTTCATTTTTGAATAACTATTTTGAATTAGTTATATTAATTGCGTACATTGACTGAACATAATTTTATGAATAGTTTGACGTAGTTTTTAAAACGAAATATAATTAATTTACTGTTCAATAATTGTTATACGGTGACTAAATAGATATCCTAAAACGTTGCAAGATAAGGTAATATTATACAATTAATTTATGAAATAATAAACGAGAAACTTTTTCTTTCAAGTCTTGAAATACCATATTAATCATTAACAAAAAGCGTAATAATAGCGGAAAACAATTTAAGAAGAAATTATACATCAATACTGTTAGAAAAAATAATTTATGGGTCGCCGTTATAACTTTGATTAATGTTATCCCGATCACATCCAAAGTTATCTGAATCTTCTTTCTATGATTTTTCTGTCCAATGATAGTGCAATAAATGATCACGAAATAATTATTATGTATACTTAAATATTTTTTATAATGTAGTAACTTAAAATTTTTTTATGAGAAGTTCAATGTCTTACACCCAAACATTATTGACGTTTTTTCTTCTTCTTTTAATTAATGAGCAACAAAAGAAAAAAGAAAAAATTTTACCTTTTACTTTCTGTAATCGTTTTTTTTTCTTCCCCTTCCTTCCTTCATATCCTGCGTGAAAAATGATCAATACGACGCCCAATTGCGTCACCTAAGAAATGGGCGTGCGAATCATTGCCCTTTTTCAAATTGGACATATTTCAAAGTTCAATTCTGGTATTCTGAATTGCGTCTTTCTTTGAGGTAACAGTTCATTACACCTTTTCTCTTCGGCAATATTTCCTAATTACTAAGGAATAAGATACAAAATATTTCCCTGCTAGAATTTCTCTATGCATTGTTATAAAATAATATACATTAGCCTTCTACGCAGCTGAGAAAAACCATGATCGGATCAGTTAGGCATCTAACCAATGGGATACCTGCAAGTGACGTAGTGTGGGCATCTCGATCCTGATTGGTTGTTGAAACGTGGCATTTGTTTACGTTAGCAACTGTTCTTTCCATTCTAGTTCGAGTAAACCAAGCCCGTCAATTATCAATTCTCTTAAGTGACACATTCTAAATTCTTACACAAAGATTCTTTTGCAAAGATTCTTTCACAAAGATTTTAATTATTTATATATCTTAACACAAAGATTGGCATGAAGCCAACCATGTAGAACATCAACAAATTAATTATGTATCGCAGTTGTCAAGTACACAAAACAAAAATATATCATGGTTACATCCAAATATATAAATAAATAATAAATCTCAGTTAAGTAAAAGACTCAGGCGAGAAATTACGTTTCACTAAATTCGATGTGCAGTACGAAGCTGTATGTAATTAATTTCACGTTAATGAACATTCTAGCTTAGGTGCAGAAACTTAGCTCGACTTTAACACGCCATTTTGCTTATGAACGATCAGCTGGTGCCGATGTCATAGGTCACATGTGAGGGTATCTGTGATCTTCTTCTTCTTCTTGAAGTGCAAGTATCTAGTTATGAATTTTTTTCCTCCTTTTAAAAAAGATAGAGAAAACGGGAGAAAAATAAGTAATTAAATATTAATTTAAAATTATTGTTTGGAGGAAAAAGAAACAATTAAATATAATGTCTAAATTTTTTACAAATATTAAAATAAATAAAGTGAAAATACGAGGGCCATTTTTTTAGTAAGGACCGTTTTGCTGTGTACATTAATAGGTGGCGCGCGAGTCACAAGGAGTGCTTGCGTCTTGTCCTGGCACTCCTTGGGAAGAACTGTGTTCAGTTACAGCTGCGTAGGTCAGTTCTGTGTCTTTAAAACATTGAAGTTTAACAAATCGTCCGCCACTTATGAAGTACTGTCAGTGATGTGTTTTTAGTGGGCAAAAAACTTGTCTGCTGCATGCATTCACCGGCAGATTTGTGAACTATACGAAGCTTCCTACTGGCATGCTGACAGGAAATTTTGATACTTGCATGACAATAACTCTCTCCACAGCTCAGTCTTCTAGAGCTTTATTGGACTCTTTCGGCTGGGAAGTTTTGGACCACCCCTCGATACACCCCAGACCTTGCGCTAAGCGATTTTCATATTTTCCGATGTTTTAAGCATCATTTTGGCGGCAACCAGTACAACAATGACAAACACGTGAAAATGGTCTTGACCTCTTGGTTATCGGAGTAGGCGGCGTGTTACTGTGAAGAGGTTATTCTAAATATAATTATAAGATATGATAAGTGTTTAAGCAAACTTGGTAACTATTTCTTTTCTATATCAGTCGTAGAACAGCCGACCCAATTTTTGGGTTTACGACTACTAATGTTCAACTCCGTAGCCTTGTCATTTTAAACCAATCCAGAAGACAAGGAAACTCCTGGATCAGTACCCCCAGAGGTATTGATTTGTCATGGGAACATGGAGGACTTAGCGACTCGACTGATTTAAACAGAATCAGTCACCATTTACTACACGGGGAATCTTCGGCCGAGATGGGATCGAATTCACGAACTCTTGGACTTGGGCCCAGTGCCCTACCAACTATTTTGAAGAAAAAAAAGAGAAACTTAAGTAGAATCAAAAAATAAATTTGCTATATGAAAATTTTCTTTCGTTTGGTTTTTATTTTCAAACGGCTCTTACATAAAAAAACAGCCCTCATACATGGCCTCTTTTTTCATTTTACTATCATTCATGTATGCCAAACTGGTATAACCGGGTAGTAACCCATTAAAAGCTGCTAACAGACCGTGGTGGATTGACCATTCAAACACCTATATTGCCTCTTGTTTTTACATTTATGTTTGTGATGATG